GAGTAGAACACGATGGAATAACGGAAAATCAAGGAGCAATGGAAAGAAACGGCGTTCCCCTTTCAGTGACTAATGTTTCTATCATCATCACATTTGATTGGTTCCTGCTCCCGGTGGTTGGAACCTTTATTCCACTGTAGATTCTCATCAGTCTTTGTTCGCTTTAACAAATAAATAAATAAACAGTTTTGAAAACTTCGGTTTTCATTCTTTTCCGGCTTTGTGTGTCATCTGTCACGGTTGCTAAGCAACAGAGCCTATGGGTAAACCCGCTGAAGGGTAGACCTGTTTGAATTCACAGCAAGAACTCTTTCGGTCTCCTTATTTTCACGGACTGAAGGATCCAGTCCAGGTAGACCGCGTCCTTGGAGTAGGAAGCAACGCTGCGATGCGGAAGTGACCACATCCAGGTGTGACAGAGGTAAAGCCGAGCGGTTAGAGAACAAGTTCGAACTTCTCCCACCTTCAGTCGGTATTTCCTCCCAGGAATCCTGCAGCTTTCTCTCCTTTCCCAGCTGGATCCCTGTCGGTCCATCATGCTTCACACAGAGCGACCAGCTGCCGGTCGGTCAGCAGGTGTTCAACACAAACTGGTGCCTAGTTTATCTGCTGCCCTGAGCCTGAGGAGAGGCGGGATTTATTCATCATGGTTTCCGGTCCAATAATTAATCTGATTGTTAAGTAATATGTTCACACCTAAAAACAGGAACTTATACTTAATGTAAGGCTAAATCTAGATTGGGATTCATTTTCGGATTAATCTAAATATTTTAAAACATTGATTAATTGATTTCACAGATTTTTAACACTCACAGTTGAGTGTTAGAAATCCAAACTCTAGGGGGCGCTGCATCCTAAATGGGGCTTAAATTTTCCAATAACTGTTAAAACAACTATTTATAAATGCTAAGCAGACAATTAATTAATGATGAACAGATTGTTTAAAATCGTTGCATTTGTTTATAAAGTACATTTATTAATAAAAGATAAATAATCTGTTAAGGTCGTAAATGATGTTGGAATAATATGATCTATTTACCTTTTATTAATGGATATTAATTGGATGCAGATTATAAATGATTATCAAACATAAAAAAATGATCTGTTAGTCATTAATAAATAGTATATTTACCATTTATTAATGATAACTATGATGTTATTATAAAGTGTTTCCCATGAATGTGAATCCATCATCCATCACAGAAAAAGCATTCTTGACTTTTCTAACATGTTTTTATTCAGGCAGTCATGCTGACGCCTTTAAGCAGCAGCAGTAGATCATGAACAGCAGCTCTGACTGTTTCCGTTTCACTTCTTCCTCTTCTTCAGGGACTGAATCGCTCTGCAGAAAGTTCAGATTAAACTGTGAGCTGGACTGGTTCCACAGTTATTCCACAGACACAGAAAGGCTCTGAGTGGGTCTGGTTCCTGTGGGAGGATGGAGAGGCCAGATGAGGATCCGGTCCCTGGAGCTGAGGTTCTGTTCCGACGGAGGAGTCCAGGGGAGGAGAAGCATCTATCAGAGGAGCAGCTGAAGGTTCAAACAAGCTCCTTCCTGCTTTATCTCAGTGATCTGGGACTGATCATTTAATGCTTTTATGAGTTTAGAGCTTCTTTAAATTATATTCAAACCATGTTGATTTAAGTAAAGTCTGATTCTATTTTCAGAAGATTTCATCACATATTTTCATTATCTTTAACTTTGTGTTAAAGAAATTCTTAGGAAAGAATCCAGAAATAACCATTTAAATCAATTTATTCTAATTATTTGATAACTCTACCTGCAGCTGTTATCCATTGTTAATCACATAATAGATCTGTTTATTAATGACTCTTTAAAATCTCTTGTTTTGCGAGTTATTCTCCAGATTTTATGTTTTGCAGGAAAAAACTGTTAATTACAGCCTGCTTATCAAACCAAAAACTAGAACATCCCTTGCAGTAGATTATCTGCAGATTAGGAATATGATGTCATCAAATGTCACCTTAGTAACGGTAGATGACCAAGTACTTTTTCCGTTATAGTGTCAATACTTTATCTGCTCTAAGTATTGATCTCATAGAGTTTTTGGTTGGTCTCAGCAGTTCTATGTGAACTAGATCTGCGTTTGACTGTTGAAGTTAAACTGCTAGTTGAAGTTTGTGGTCCAAATGTTGTATTTAGCTGATTGTATCTCGAATTGCATTTAATATGTTTTATTTTTTATTTCATGTGAAGCACTTTAAATTGGCTTTGCAATGAATTCCACTTCACTAATAAAAATGCTCTGCCTTTCAAATTCTGTTTGTTAGCTTTTGCTGCCTCTTTGACGGCCTTGCTTTCACTTCTGCAATTAACCACTTTTTAGTACTTTGGTTTAACCTGAAAATATTATGTGGTGAATTCCTAAAAAGTTCAAATCAATCCACTGGACTTTGTTTCCAAGTTTGAAGACGTTTCTCTTCCATCCAGGAAGCTTTTTTAATTCAAAATGTCAGAAATAGCGTTTAGTTCCAGGTTTTATACAGCAGCCCAACAAAGCCTGGTTTAAGTTTAGAAAACATGCAAATGGAAACGGACCATGGGGTTAAGGGTCTTGCTCAGGGACCCAGAGTGCAGGCTGTGGGGATCGAACTGCTCACTGAGCACACTGCTCTAACCACTAGGCCAACTAAGATCTCTTTCTTCAAAAACTCTACTAGTTAATGACTTGATTTGTGATAATCACATTGCTTTATGTTGCCTTACAGAAACCACCAGGTCCTTACTCTGAATGTTTAGATGAGTTTTCAGAGTT